AGAAATCTAGCTCAAAAAGACTTGAGCTTTTCTCTAGCAAAAATTCAACACTATCTAGTACAATCTTTTGAAATCCAGAAGAATTCAGCAGAAATTAACAAGCATCATAATAATCTGAAACAAATCAGGAACACCTAAATCTTGATGGATCTTATTCTATCGTATAAACCGCATAACTCATTCAGATACTCAAAAGTTCATTGGGGCCCATCAGGTTCTCAATCTCCGAGATTTCTTTTTTCTGTGTTTTCAAAAATTCTAGGGCCAATTCTTCGTCTGTCTGCTTTGTTTCCATGTGTTCTAATGGCTTCGGATGGAGTCCAATAGATCGTGGAATGTCTCAAGGTTCACTCTTCCTTTGTAAAGTAGACTAGTCATAGTTGTATAAATAGCACATGGTGCTTCCATTGATTCATCCAGAACATATTTTGAATTATGCATCCTTATTTTATGAATCTGGTCGATTTCCTTGCTTTTGTGGCTATTCAGAACATTAATCTATCTTCATAAATGATAATGAGTTCTAATGGATTCTGGTGGATCCCGATGGATCCTGATGGATCCTAATGGATCCTAATGGATCCCAGGATCCACCAGGATCTGCTTTTTCCCCCTTGGGCGACCCTATACGTGCATAAGATAAAAAGCGCTAAAGCACCGTATACGCTAACTGTTTTCGGTTGCCGTATCCAGCAATCATAAACAACCATTTCCTTAGTATTACACCCATCACAAACGACCAGCGTAAAAACTCATCGTTTACGGCCGCCGATAAATTACACCGGCTCTAAGCGATAATCCATGCATTTCAATTCACCAATCAGATTTCGAGATTCTATTTCTCAGCTATATAAAAGATGTAGCCCTACACATACACCCCTCATTCGAAAGAGCATCGCTGATAATCCTAGAATCGGAGCGAACATGACTGGGAGTTGTCCTGAAAAAAAATGGGGGGAGGGGGGGGGCTAGCTCCCTTGTTTTACGGCGTTTGCTGTGTCGTATACTGCAGCCGTATGTCACTGTTTACGACACGACGATTTACGGCCGTAATACGGTGCATAGAAATACGGTCGTATCTAGTCGTCGTAATGTTCGGCGTGGGTATAGATAATAAACTAACTTGAACTGAATACAATCGATGTAGTTACGTTTCTTAAGTAAAATTTCTAAAGAAAATCAATTTTCAAACAAATCTAAGATGATAGATTTCACTATAACTATAGTTCATGTTCATGAACTCTTAAGCTCATCAATGCTACATGGAATTTTATATAAATTTTTGTTTATTTCTCTAAAGAACGATACGCGTTGGTCTCTTGTAGTTGTTCTTATTGAGAATTTTTCTGTTCGTTCTGTCTATAAACTATGCATACACATTGCACGTGAAGTTTCTACTGAAAATCATAAGAAAATCGCTCTGTATAAGAAAGTATACGAAATGTTTTTAGAAATTTATTTACACGAAGAGGCAGTGGCGTTTTTTTATCATTGATCATCAAATGGTTGTTTATCTTATACTTAGAAATATCTCTCAATCGATTAATATTAGTATTAAAATGCAAATAGTTTTTCCTTCCTTCAACTATCAGTACAATTGAGAATTATTACAAAGAATGTTTATCGCTCCTGACTGCAAAGAAGTTATACTTGCTAACAGAAAAAACCTATTGCATCGAATTGTCTGATTTATTTCCCAATGATATTATGAATGAAATTTCATTATAATAGAGATTTTAATAAAAATTGTACGAATATCCACAAAAGAAAATTAATCGTTATATTGTTTTTCTGGGTTTATACTTTTATTCTTCTGTTACTAAAAACATTAAAAAAGCGTTATATGAAAGAGTTTCGAAATTCACTTATGATACGATTAATTTGAGTATGTCAGAACATAAAGTTTATTCCTCGACTAATATTAAAAATCAAGCAGTTCGATGTTTCTATAGAATGAAAAGTAAAGTGTCAAATTCATATCGCAAGGATTTTGGATACATTTTTTCCATGGTTAGTTGCTTGCTGTTAGAAACATTGTTCATAAAAGCCTATTAAATTAATTCAAACAACTCTGATAAAATTTCATAAATTTTCTTTCGATGACTTTTTATTGATTTTATATCAATAGGAACATGCAAAAGTTTATGTGATTGAGGTTGCGAGATTATTTCAAAGCAATTTAAAAATACATAAATAAATCAGTGATATCGCTTTTTATTTCATTTAAGATCTTGGATACTACTTATAGTTTCTCTTTATTGAACCATATTTATGATTAGAATATTTTTCAATCAATAATAAAAATTAACTAGTATTCAGTTTTGTAAAACATAGTTGATATACGTTTACAATACAAAATATGAAATTTACTGTTGTTTCCAATCTCAAATATTTCGAAAAAGCAAAAGAATTCATTCGGACTCTACGATATTTCTTCTCTGATTCTAGTTATCAACGTACCACCCAATGCACGATGGACACTGATGGGTGTTACTGTTGCTCGTGATCTCAACGGTCCCCATGGTCTCTGCGTCATCGACGATGATGATAATTCTAAGCAAACAACGATCATCATTGCTGATTCCTACAATCATCGTATCGTCCAATACAAGACAGGTAATACAACGAATGGGCAAATCATTGCTGGTGACAATGGCCAAGGAGATCAATTGAATCAATTGAATTCTCCAATCGATGTGTTGTATGACAAAGAGACTGATAATCTCATTATTGCTGATTGGGGAAATCGACGAGTTCTTCGATGGTCTCGTCGTAGTGGGACGAAACAAGGTGAAATCCTCATCGACAACATTAAATGTCATGGATTATTCCTGAATGATCAGAGAAATCTCTATTGCACTGTTACCGAAAAACAAGAAATAAGACGATATCAACTTGATCAAATAGGAGAAGACAAGAAGGGAACTCTCGTCGCTGGTGGCAATGGCAACGGTGCTAATCTCAATCAACTTAACTGGCCGACTTACATCTTTATCGACCGGCATCAGAATGTCTACGTGTCAGACAACGGGAATCATCGTGTAATGAAATGGAATAAAGATGCACGCGGAGGAATTGTCGTCGCTGGAGGTCATGCTTATGGGAATGCTGTGAAACAATTGTACCATCCTAATGGACTCTTCGTCGATACGTCGGGTACTCTCTATGTGGTAGATTTTTATAATAATCGAGTGATGCGTTGGACTCAAGGAGCACAAGAGGGCACTATTGTTGTGGGTGGAAATGGCGAAGGAGCAGGAGCAAATCAGTTCTCATATCCCACTAGTTTGTCCATCGATCGTCATGGCAATCTCTATGTCGTCGATAGGGAGAATAAGCGTGTTCAACAATTTACTCTCGCATAGAACTCGTATACGAGAAAGACGATTGACTGATTTTTTTTTCGTTCTATTCTATTCGCACGCGCGGGCGCTGGAAAGATTCCTCATCATTCACAAGCCCGTCAGGGCATTGTGTCAATGGAATCTCCAATGCCCGATCGTGTGCCACGGGCGTCAAAGTCGTTCTTGGTCGATGTTTAGGCCCTATCCGGAAGATCTCTTAACCTGTTAGGGGAGCTTCTACACTCATTGGACCTACTAACCCTATCCACTCTATTCCTGTCCTGTCTAAGACTTACTAACACTCTTATTCTCAAATGAAAAATAAAAAGCACTTACTTTGATGTTGTTTGACACGTTGATTGATTACCTAAAAGGAAAGAAAAGAATTCATTAGTATGTTTGTATGAAAAGAAAAAAAGCTTACCCTATTCACTTTCCAACATCTAAAAAGAAAATTAAAATAGAAAAAGAACATTGACCAAGAAGATCAAACGATGAGCAATACTCATTCAAATGATCTTAATGATATAAACAATAAAAAACGAAAAAAAAGAAAAATTATACCTACATTTATATTATATAATTTTGTATTGAATTGGCTGTTGAATTGCAGTTGAAATCTAAAACAGGAAAGAAAAAGGTTAGTAAATATTCCAAAACTGGAATGAACTTCAATGGGATAATACTGGATATTTATACGTGGATATTTCTTTTTCTTCTCTCTCTTCCGCACCTCTTTGTTATCAAGAGGAGAGGGTGTGAATGTATTGTTGTCCAATAATGGTGGCTACATCCCGACCCACATCACACCCACACCCACCCTTCAATATCATTATACAGGGTGTTAAAAAACAATTACGCCCCCCTCTACAACTTAAAGTATCAATGATATCACAAATGTATTTTATACCGAATTAAAGCGCGTCAAAAACTGGATTTATTGGTATTAAATAG